TACCAATATTTCAAGGTTCGTTTTGTTTTTCCTTGGCCCGACATTTTTTCTTGGCCCATATGCACCCAGGAGCTTACAGGAGCATTGGGGGGGAGGGGTCATGTCAACATGGAGAGGGGTAGCTTGAACCCCCGGAAGTATGTAAAATGACGCCCTGTGTTATAGGCAGCAACCTCAGGCAGGAACTTTGCCAATAAAGTAAGAGCTGGGCTCACCCGGCCAGTTTATCAGCTGATGACATCACGCAGAAGCATTCCAGTGCCGTGACCGCTTCCGAGGCAGACTTTACATGCACAGGAGTGGCGCTAATCAAATCGGTTGGAAGTGGCTGAGCCGATGAGGTTGACCTAGCTTGCTCCCCAACACAAATTCTTCCCAGAGTTTTTCGGTTGTTCAAATCTGCATCTCGCTGCTGACGTTATAAATAGACATTTTTATGTGCCTCGTTGATTCCAAAATTGTATTGCCGTAGAACATTCACGTTCCATTTCAAGGCGACGCAAAGTTACTCTTTTGCTAAAAGCTTAGACTAGGGTGTAATCCACAGAAGAAAAAAATTGTAACATCTGGCACGTGGTAAACATCTGCCACAGTGTAACAACATATAAAAGTAAACTAAACTTGCATGACCTCGCCAACAGACCTGTTCTTAATGAAAGGCAGAGTAGTTAAATATTAATGACGGAGCGGGCCTCCAGAGTCCTAATCTTTCTTAACAGCGTAGCCAACGATGTAGCACGTGCTGTAAGTTCATATGAGCAAAACAAGGCTTGAATCTCGGCTTTTGTGATGATGAGCTGGCGATTTTCATGTTGAAAATAATCGAACTTCATTACTCTAGGACTCAGGGGCGGCATATCGGCGGAGGGGGATGGGGGCAGAGGGTCAGCTCCCTTCCTCACAGCAAGGGGGCAGGAGTATGTCTCCGTCTGCAATCATCAGGCCCCACGTCTGGAACAACTTTCATGCATCAGATGGCCGCTGTTCCAGATCTGGCTGCCCTGTTTTAGGATGGCGAGGTCTTTGGTTAAATTTGGCAGCCCTTTTGCGATTCGGAAGCATCCTATTCTGGATTACAGGACACATTGCTGGCACAGATAGCTCTGTTCTAAATTACAGGACTCATTGCTGGCACAGATGGCCCTGTTCTGGATTACAGGACTCATTGCTGGCACAGATGGCCCTGTTTTAAGATTGGGATACATTTTGCGAGTCCACATTCTTTATTTTTAATTGTCGACATTTATTTCCTTGGATATGACGCACGTAACAATTTGATAGGAGGGCACACGCCTCCGGTGCTCTCCCCATGAACGTGACGCTGCCCCGCACCCCCCCCGCCCTATGACAAGGCCCCTTTTGTCCACGAGGTCTCCTATAAATCCTGCCTCCCCCAATCAGCATCCGTGGCGCCGCCGTTGCTAGGGGGCAGTGGTAGGACGACGTTATCAAGAAAACATGCTAGTTATAGTGATGAGCCTCGACGTTTATAAGCTGTGCTTACGGTCGGTCCTGGCGACAAGGGCCGATCAACCCAGCTCCATTTTTTCTTTTATCTTCCATCCTGGTGCGAACCGCTCCAGAATGCGTCAGCTCGTTTCTCGACACTCTTTTGTGGTACAGTTAGCTGAACGGTATACGGCCGGACTGTACTTCAGGCGCTCGCTGTTTGTCCCCGAATGGCCCACCGAATCGGCTTAAGCGGGACTAGCCACGCCGCACACGACCCGGGCTTCACCCGGTTAGTTCAGGAATCATTTCGCTGGAATGCTCATCGGCGTAAAACTGCCGTGCTCCGACTTGTCACGTGACGCGGGCTTTATCGCATTCCCCACAAGTGCCGTACAGTTACTTGTCACTGTTAAGGGAGACATGGATTCACCTCTATTTGGGCCACCCTGTGCTTGTAAATGGTGCTCTTCTTTTCAATTAAGATATTGTAGTGTGGAAAACCTGTGAATGTCTGCAGATTGGCCGAACAACCGAGTTTGTGCCACTCAAGGTTTCCGTATTTAGGATACTACATGGCACAAATTAACATTTTGGTGATTTAGTTTGACAGCGTGTCGACTGCCCCAGTCATTTTGCGCCAGATGAGATGAGCAGGACAATAACCCTGATTTGTCAATGTGCCTTTTTTCCCTATAGCAGATTTTAAAAATCGGTCCGCTTTTCCATTTTTGGTCACATGCATTAAAGGGCTTAGAGGAGCATTGGGGCTTCGGTCAAAATTTGGAGGGCTCAGCCCCCTCCCCGAAAGTATATATAATGATACCTCTGTCCATGAATGAATGCAATGTCATTTGTAAGGTTTATTGACCCCACAAATTTGTCATGCTTCGTCAGAGGCGGCAGTGTCAATACACTGCTGTCATCTGGCGGCGTCTAATGATGCATTAGTTGACATCACGTCCGCACGGAAGCCGGCATTTCCAAACATGTGATATCAGGTGCAGTGATACCAGGTCATGAGACCGGAAGGGACAGATCAGGATAGGGGAGGGGGGGGGTTGTAAGTGGAATCTAAAGGGACCAGTCTGGCCTGAAATGGTGAAATGTCACTATGAATGAGAGAAGGTAAAAAGCATCCACGCTATGCGCAAAATTGAAAGAATAAAATCCCATTCTGAGCAGTCTACATGACAGATCTGGGACAAATCTGGTCACGATGAAATCCTGTAACCAAGAAACCCGTCTTTGCTGCTGCCGTTTCCCGGGGCGGCGTCACATATTTTGAGTTGGGGACAGGATTTTCCAGAGAGCTTTCTTGACAAATGGAGCCTGCTCGACAGTATCGTGTTTAAGAGGGAAAGGATACGAAGGCATGTGTCATCTTATCAAAGGAATTCTAGTATCATGTCTAAATAAAAGAAATTGACTATGAAAGATCCAGAATGGAGGCCCGCTGATTGTCTTGTTTTAAAATCTTCCAAAAATATGTTTTGCGGAAGCCTAAGATGATAAGGAAGGTTCCTTATCCTATTTCAATGCCTAAGGGCACCACTTTTTATGTAGAATTTCTGCGTGCAACATATATTCTAAGTCAACAGCAAGAACAATCATGCCTCCGACGTTCAGGAAGTCCCCGCCGCCTCCAGGGGAGGGGCAGAACGTCCCGAACGTTCTTCCTTGGTCACGTCACTTCCAAACGTCGCGCTGCACTATACGTGGCGGAGCAGGTGAGCCCGACCAGAGTGGTACCCAGAGGACCGAAATACCAGAGTAGTACCCAGAGGACCGAAATACCAGAGTAGTACCCAGAGGACCGAAATGCCTCGCCGGCTTTTTGGCTGACGTAAGACGAATGTTTGCAAAAAGATCCCCTCAAAAGCTCTGCTTTGACCTATCTTAGACAGGTGGTTTGGGCCCTGATCCATGCGTCCAAATGGCTATTCTCACGACGAAATCACACGGTAAAGTCACACCATTTCTAAAATAAGAAAGCAACGCCGGCGCACATCCTAGACAAGTTGGGTGGAGGTTGGACCGATCCGCCTGACGTACCCATGACCTCCTGGAGCTGCGCGACACCTCACGTGCAGATAGCGTCTCGCCCGCCCAAACGCGCCACTGACTACAGCCGAGGCCGTGCTGGCACACCACCACGCGTCCGCTGATGTCCGGTAGCCGGTGGTGGGTAGGTGCGACATCAGACGGCAGGGGAGGCTTGGGCCGGCCACAGTCGAGTGCTGTGAAGCGAGGACCGGTTCGCTCAGGCGCCCCCGTACCGGACGGCATGCCCTCACAAAAGACCCCGAGACACACGTCAGAGGGTGAGACTCCCTGCCAGTGGGTGAGGCTCCCTGTCAGGCGCTCGCTACTCCCAATGGTTGGACTGCCCATCGTCGTCTGGTTGACCGTCCTCTACTGACCTTCCTCTACTGACCTTCATTTACTGACCTTCCTCTATTGACCTTCCTCTACTGACCTTCCTCTACTGACCTTCCCCTATTGACCTTCCTCTACTGACCTTCCTCTCTGCACCTTTCGGCCAGCTTCCCTCACGTGCTGATGTCCTGTGCCACGCCCAGTGCAGTGCCCGCACGAGATCGGCCCGTGTCAAAGTGTTTGAGAGCGCGTGCGTGTTATGTGCGGTATTTCAGTCAGCGTAGCGAAAATCAGTGTCATTCTTTGCCGTGCTTTCAGTGTAATGACTTGTGTGCATTCTGCTGCCGACAATGTTGTGAGGGATGGGGACTGGGCTGGTGGCTGTGTGTGTCCAGCGGCTTACGCGCCGGCCAGTTCTTCGTCAGGTTAAAAAAAAAATAATCGGAACCCTTTGAATGGATGGATGTCTGGGATCAACGCCCACGCTGAGCGGTGCTTCCCCCACCATCCGATCGCGCAATTCCAGGCAGCAGCAGAATTTAGTGCCGAAAGCTTGACGGGCCGCAATGCTCGGCACGGTCTGTCCTGCCTTCTGACGTCAACTGACTTTTAGCGTGACCGCTGCCACCGGCCGCAGCCAATACCTGTCAAGGGCAAATAGCAAGTGCCCTAAAGCGATTCGAACCCACCCTGCCACGGGTGGGTGGATCGCAAGACAGCCGCTCTAACCAAATGAGCGGACAAAGGTTCATGGAAACACGGAAAAGGTTCGTGGGACAGCCGCTGCTATGACCGTCGGCGTTTGGACCTGCGTTCTACGAATTAGCCATGTTCACCTGTCGTTGGCAACATGCCTTTGCATATCGAAAAATATCTCCGATGCCCCAAAGTCAGCAGCAGAGGGATTCTGTCAGGTGGTAGTAGGCTTTGGTAGCAGAGTGCATTAGCCTCGTGAGCTCAGATATGCACCTCCGCTGCACCGTGCCGGCGGCCCTCTGTGCGCCCGGGGTCAGAGCGACGCCGGCGAGGCCGATCCACAGGCGAGAGCGCAGCTGTGCAGCGCGCGGCTCCGGCCGTAACTGCCGCCAGCAGCGCGTGAGTCATGGGCCGTGTCCGGCTCGGATCACGGGCCGTGTCTGCGGTGCCACCGGCGCGGAAGACGGCTTCGGACAGTTCTGCCTGCATGTTTCGTTGCGGGGACAGGCAGATCCAGCACACACTGCATGCCGAGGACATGTGTTGACGCTAGTGGGGTGCAGCGCAGACACGTCTGCACTTATGCCTGCCTGTGCAGCGCCGCTTGGGGGCAAAGGATATAACGCACCTCACTTATCGAGGACAGGCATCTGATGGCCAACAATTATCTAACATTCCCTTCCACACCATTAACTGGGGTGACGGTTAACAAGCTTTGACATCGGGTGTCTGCTTCTGATCCGCTGCAAAGCCTCGGGTTCTCCTAACTGAACACGCGCTAAGTGAACACAGGAATAACGCAAAACTTCAGAGTCTAACGCTAACTTTCATTACAACCGCGCACATCACGTGTCAGAGTCCATCACCCTGCAGACTAGAAAAGCCCGACCGCCTTCTTTTTCTGCACGCGCTTCCACTGCGGCATGCGCTGGAACTCTGCCCAGCTGATGCCGAAGACTTTGGTGAACTCCTCTGGCGCCAGGTACTCCTCCTTCCTGGTCGGGTCGACGTCGTCCGGCAGGGCGGCCAGCTCCTTCTCCTTCAGCACTTCCAGGGGGTAGCGGGGACCCTCACGCCGCTCCGTCACCTCCTCCAGCAGCACTGGCCGGTTCGCCTCGCGTACTTCCTTCTGCACGGCCGCCCAGCTCGGCTGCTCCGCCCAGTAGGTGGAGTTCCACACGCCGAAGAAGCCGGTGAAGGAGGGCGGCTCGCTGTGCTGGCGCGTGCGGAGGATCGGGGTGCCCGTGCCACGGCCGGCCGGGTCCGTGCGCAGGTACTCGATGGCCGCCTGCTCGGCTTGCTGGCGCTCGTCGCGGTTCGACTTGCTGCCGACCCAGACGAACACGGCGTCCCACGCGTCCAGCAGCATGACGTCGTCCTCGCACAGGTCCGACTGGTCGAAGTCGGCTACCTCCGTCACGCGGAACGCACCGGACGCGTTCGAGCACTGGAAGAGCCGCGCGGGCTGAGCCCTCTCCTCGGCCAGCCGCGGCCCGGTCGCGTACTCCTCACGCCCACCGAGCGTCGACCAGAACGCGTCCGGCTCCTCACCCTCGACGATAGTGACGCACGCGGCGCTGACCTCCTGCCCGACGGCGGCGGCTACCTCGCGCTCTTCGGCCGTCGCACCCTTGCCGCACCAGACGGTTACGCCCTCGGGAGCGCGCAGGACGAAGCAGTCGTTGGAGTTCAGCGAGCGCGCGCGGCACTCCACCTGCACGGCCTTGGTGTTGAGTGACTGCGTGCCGCGCACGTGTAGCAGGTAGGTGTCTCCGAGGAGGTGGTCCTCGGCGGCCGGGCCGTCGAAGGCGGAGGCCTTGCCGCCGGCGTAGATCACTAGCCTTCCGGAGAACATGGCCATGAAGTGCGGCGGCTCCTTGCCCTGCACCACGCGCACCTGCACCGGCCTTCCCCCAAGCTTGTCGTCAAGCTCCACCGCCTTCAGCGCCGCTGTGCCGCGCTCGTCTTGGCTGCTGTACGCGCCCAGCCAGTAGTAGATGATCCAGTGGTCGCGGCCGGAGACACGGTACGTATACTGCACCACGTAGCAGTCTCCGCCGTAGAACTTCCCGTGGCCCGACTCGGGAACCTCAGCCAGGTCAAAGTTCTCCACGCGCCACACCTGCTTCTGGCCGGAGCCGTCATCGACCATCTGCGTGCGCGCCGCCAGAGCGCGGTTGTTGTGCAGCATCGCCGCGTCGAAGCGGTTCTGCGCCACCTTGGCCACCGAACCGGCCGAGAACTGGCGGCCGAGGCCGACGGAAGTGCCGCGCTCTCGCCACTGCCGGAACAGGCTGCGGAACTCTGGCGGCTCGCCGCCGTCGATGACGCGGGTGACGGGTGTGTGGCTCGGGTAACCTTTCTTCTGGACGAAGCCCTGCGCATTCCGCATCCCCTCGGAGCGTTCCTTGGCGCTGGCGCGTTTGCCCACCCACACCCAGATGCCCTGGTCGCCGTTGTCGACAATGAAGCTGTCGTCCGAGACGAGGTCCTCCTGGAAAAGCGGGCCATGCTTGACCTCGGTGACCTGTAGCGTGCCGCCGGCGTCCGAGCAGCGGTAGAGGCGCAGCTGCTCCGCCAGGCGGCGCTCCTGTGTCTCGTCTGCCGCGTCCGGCTCGGCGGGCGCCACGCACCGCTCGCCCGGCGCGAGCAGCTCGTCGAAGCGGCGTTGCTCGTCGGGCGCGAGGCCGGTCTCGGCGCCACTCTCCACTACCACCACCTCGCCACCGCCGTGCGCCGCCTTCAGACGCTGCGCCAGCCGCGCGCCCTGAATCTTCTCCATGTTGTTGGCCGCCCGGCCGGTCCAGACGAAGACGAAGTCGCGCGCGTCGACCACGAACACGTCTCCGTCGTTGACGTGCCGCCAGGCGACGGACGGCAGCTGGCGCACCACGGGGCTCCGTTTTCCTTTGACCATGTACATGCGCGGCTCAAACGTGTCTCCGACGTGCGTCATGCCGCTGGCGACGCCGCCCTCGAGAAAGACAAGCCCCTCGCGGAAGTACCCGCGGAAGCGCTGGCTCTCGCGGCCCTCGACCTCGCGGTGCTGCACGGGCGCGCCACCCAGCAGGTCGTCCAGCTCGACTGTCTTATACGCGGCGACGCCAGCTTCGTCGGACGACGTCTGGGAGCCCAGCCAGAAGTGGATGTGGACCTCCAATGGGCCGCGGCCCGGCCGGCCGCCCTGCTCGCTGGCGCTGTATACGATGTAGGAGTCGCCGCGGAAGAAGCGGCCGTACTCCTCGGCCGGCAACGGGCACACCTTCATGCTCTCCACGCGCCAGATGAGGAAGGCGGGCGCGTTGTGCGGCACCGCGGCGAAGGCGGGGTCGACCTCGGGCATGGTGAAGAACTGGGAGGTCGGTCAGAGGTCAGATCACACCCTTCCGCAGACCGTGAGCCTCACCGAAGTGGTGGGTGCTGCTCTCTTCAGTCAGCTCTGCCCCGGCCTCGTCTCTCCTTTGTCTGGTGTGGTGTTGGACAGTGCGCGCCCCTGCTATGCGATGTCCTTGTCACGTGTCTCTTCTGCCGGCTGTTGCCCTGCCTCAAGTGAGGGCTCCAATGTCGTCTTCTGGGCTTTGCTTTCGGGCTATACTCGTATGCCTCTCACCTTCTGCCTCACCGTCACTGCCGGCTAGAGCGTTTCACCCCGCCTTGGTACGTTCTGGTCACCCGGGGTCGCCGAGCACTCGGTGTTTCACCACCACACTACACTGGCACCACTGAGTCACCGGCACGCTCCAGCGGCACCACCGAGCAGCTTGCTGCGTAGCTCCGTCTCACGTCTCCTCATGAGCTCCACCGCGCTCGGACTGAGCCTGACAGGCTGGTCAGCTGAGCACCCAGCCCCTCCCCACTTCCTCACAGCTGTTGGCGCCGACCGACCCGCCGCGGCGGGCATCCACGAGCGCGCGGCTCCAGACACGTGACGAGCCGCAGTCCCGGCAGAGCTGGAACTCCGTAAAAATCCTCCGTGTTGTCAGCGCCGCCAGGAAATTCCAGGCTCGGGAAGTGACGCGACACGCAGGGCAGTGGCGGGACGGTGCGTCACTGTGCCTAGCTCCTGACGCAACAGTCTCTTCCAGTCACGGGCGCTCTACTTCTGACGCGAAAAACGCAGCGCTGCTTGCACGCATTCATGGTGAGTGTTTAACTAGGCATGCATGCCCTAAAATAGCAGAGACACTCTGTTCGCAATGCCTCATTCAGTTCACCATTGGCACGGCGGTGTTTTCGCTCTAGTTAGGATTGGGTGCGGTCTCCGGTGGCTGCTCCGCTCTCCATGCTTGCATGAGGCACAGGACCTCCCAACCTGCCAACCATCTCACAACCACATGTGGGGTCCGATCGCAGGCGCTCGAGAAGCGTCCGCCGCGACACCGATCAGGCGCTCCGGCCCCAGTCAGATGCAGCTCGTCATATTACCCTGTCACCACAACACACCATCCGCTACTGGTCGCCACGTCACCACAACACACCATCCGCAACTGGTCACCACGTCACCATAACACTCCACCCGCAACTGATCACTGCGTGGCGTCTCGGACGACTGAGGACGACCGCGGTCTGGTATCTGTCGTCCGATATCGAGTGCTCGTGTCGCCTGATGCCCCGATAACAAACGACGCACGCGCGTTGTTAATAGCAGATCTTCCCGTCAGCTAACCAAGGAATTGCGTGTAGGTCATTCCAGCTGGCGCGTGAATCCCTTGTCCGTACCTTGACGTGCTGTTTTCCGTTAGTCCACTGGTACGGAAGTTGCGTTCTCTCGACAAATGTCTTCCTTGGGATGACCTACTTCTTAGTGTTTTTCTCTTAAGGAAATGCAGTTTTCTTTTACTGTCCAGTGTTCTCGCCCTCTATGTTCTGAAGGCGAATTTATGGGACCGCCTAGACGCCGCCGGCAACCTTGCGTCTGTCAATCTGTCCTTTGATTAACACTGAGCTGTGTGTATTCACTTCCCTGGTTATCTCCTCAAATATACCGCCGCCGCTTCCTGGTCACCCGCCGCTAATGGCACACGACGTACTACCTGCTCGCCTGGTCGTCCCTTGATAACCTCTAGTACAGTTTTGTAGCCTCTTGACAGTCTTTTGCGCAGTCCCACAGCCTTTTGACAGTCTCTCGCGCAGTCCCACGGTCTCTTGGCAGTCTCTTGCGCAGTCCCACGGTCTCTTGACAGTCTCTTGCGCGGTTCCACAGTCTCTTGACAGTCTTTTGCGCAGTCCCACAGCCTTTTGACAGTCTCTTGCGCAGTCCCAGGGTCTCTTGAAAGTCTCTTGCGTGGTCCCACAGTCTCTTGACAGTCTTAGCGCAGTCCCACAGCCTTTTGACAGTCTCTTGCGCAGTCCCACGGTCTCTTGGCAGTCTTTTGCGCAGTCCCACAGTCTCTTGACAGTCTCTTGCTGGTGTAAATCAACACTTAGATCGCTCTTGGCCTTTTGCGGCCCAGAGAAGATCTTCTGCCGGATTTTGTTCCTTAGCTAATGCTTCCGGACCGCCTGGTCCCCTCCTGATGCCCCCTGTTGCTCCGCCGGTCCCACTGGTCCTCTAGTGACGCCTCCCGCAGTCCCCGCCACGCCCGGCAATGTCGAAGCTCACACCAACGCCCGCGGCACAGACTGCGCCCCCCGCTGCCACCCGCATCCCAGCTCCCTCCCCACCGACCTGAAACTGCAGATCTCCCCCCCCCCCCCGCCTCACCGCTGACTGCGTGATCGATTCGTCACGTGACACAATTCGGTCACGTGACCGTGGCCCGGTCGGCCAGCGGGTGAATGCGTCGGCGAGTGCCGGGTGCCGGGGAACAGGCGGACCCAGGCGAGTGCGCCCTCTTGCCATGGGGTGCATGTGCGCCCGTCATGCCATGTTGGTAGTTTTGTTCCGGGCACAGTTTCGGTCGGGCGGTGGACGGATGACGGAGGAGCACAGAGCTCGCTGAGAAGTGGAGGGAAGAGTCCGTGGGGCGCGAGCTGTCGTCACGGACGTGCTGCGTGGGGCAGGTCAGGGCAACTGACAACTCCCTGGTGACGCCTGCCGTTGGTCCTGGGTTTTGTTTGCAGCGGCGGGCCGACGTTAACCGCCGTTGTTGAAAGTTCAAGGCTGAAAAGGCAGGCAGACCATTGGCTTGTGATTAAGAATGGCGTTTGACTACTTCACCGACGATGTTGTCAGAACTTAGCTCTGTGTCTTTTTGATATCATGATTAGTTATAGCGTGTTTGCAACTGTTTCTCTGTATACTAAAAGTGTATTTAAGGCGTGGTATTTCCACATCACTGTCGCTGAAAATAGCTCACTCCCTTAAATAGATCGCGCGCAGAAAAAGCATTTGAATCATTTATTACCAGGGAACAGGCTGTGGTTATTTTTTTCTAGCGGTCAATGGGTTTCCACTTGCACTGCAATGCTTTAGCAACGTTCGCGTGCAAGGCCAGAGTGCTCACACAGTACCCATGCGATCAGCGCAAATGTCGCATTGCACAAGTGGTGGCTCACTCATTGTTTGACAATGTTTGCTGCTCGGCGACTGATCTAGAATGCCGTGATTGTGACCAGCTGCTATGATTTCCTGCCTGTTCCGAACCAAATGAGGCAGGGCAGACATGAGCCTTGTGGTAAGCGTTTTAGGGGAGACAACTGCATTGGTTAAAATGTTCAAGCTAAGTCAGAGGAATGAATTTCTTATCGCGTCACTGAGAGTCATCCGTCAATGTGATGAATAGTGATGTCATAAATGTTGTCACAGCAATTTCAAATTTAAAATTCAAAATCAAAGGAGACTAAGCTTATGGCGCTCAAGAAAACGGAAACGGTTTGATAGCAGATTTTGAAGAAAACACCCAACATGATTAAATATGTGCATTTCGTCTCCATTTGAGCTTTACCGACGACTGTATGAGAGAGATATGCTAGAAATGATTAAAAATGCGAAAATTAGGCTCAACGTCTCATATTTAAAATATCAAGCAGCACGTTACTATACTGCACAGCGGCGCTGTCTGGCGAGCCTGACTACAGCCGGGCGCCAGAGTGTTGCAACACGGGACTATATTGCACAGCGGCGCTGTTCAGCGAGCCTGACTACAGCCGGGCGCCAGCGCTACATCACGGGGAGCACGGCGCGGCGGACGTGGTGAGCTCGCTTCCGCTGCAGTCACGCGGCGCCCCGTCATCCACGGGAAGCACGAGGTCACCCAGCACCGGTGACGTCACAGTCAGCCGGACGGACGGCGGCAAGCCGTCCCCCGGCTGAGGGGTTCACCGGGATTCCAGAACCTCCTCCCGGAGTGTCAGTTGCGGGATGAGCTGGACTTGCGGCGTGCAGGTCGGTTTGCTGGTACGGATACCGTTGGATACGCAAGAGATGTGCAGTTTTTGTTGCTATAATAATAGTAGGCTCTGTTTTAGTAGGCCGTATGTCGATTTTTCTTGAGATCTGCACTACTTCAGCTTCACATGCCGTTTTTGACAAGCCGTTCCAGGCAGCAGCTTGAAATTTACAAAGACGTGTACATTATTTGACCCCGGAGACATTGATATGCAGCTTCGAGTGTTTTGAGCGCATGTTTGCGATAAAGGTCTCCGTTATTGTGGAGGTGTCGGTCAGCTGCACGGTCTACAGATTCGTCGGTTGCCCCACGTCAACACCGGTCATGGTTTCCGTGCAGTGCTGGTCCAGGACCGTCACTTCCCCGGAACCAGATTAATATAAGATAAACCAGATGCTAATCAGTATTTGCTGGTGGTTCATGGCATGCCAAGGACATGCCCTAAAAAACCTAGGGACTACATCGGTTTTCCTCTCTATCAGGGCTACCAAAAATTTCGGCGTCGCACTCAAAGCTCAAATTCCGTAAGAGCCTCAGCGGCTCTGAGGTTTACTCTAAGGGTAAGGTTTATAATCAGCTGTTCATCCGCCTTTCGGACATTAGACTCCTGTTAATCTTTGAGGAGTCCATTACTAAAGCGGGGCCGGCCACAGCTCGCGCACGCGAGCTTGCATTAGTAAAGCCGTCGCTGCACCTCACTGCTCAGTCTGCTCCCCGGTAGCTTAGCACGTGCCCGGGTGGCCGGTTGGATGCTTTTCGCTCGGGTGGGGGTCAATTTGACCCCCCGACATCTCAGCAAGTAAGAAAGCTAGAGACACCAAATTCACAGAGTGTGTTGACCTGTACGTAAACTCATTTATGTCCAAAGTTAAGGCCCCTAGGTCACGACCTTCAGTCAAAACAGAGTCAAAGAAGGTCAATCTCCGGGATTGTCACCAAAAGGTCTTTAGAACCTAGATAACTATTTTAAGCAAAAAGTCACATGCTCATATAAGGTCAGTGACCTGTTTTG